TAACAGCCGCTGTTAAACCGACACCAGAACTTCCCCGTCCGGTGGTAGCAATAGCGAGTGGGGCAGTACCCAACACGAAGCGAAGTAGTTGCGATTTTGCGGTGGAAGGATCGCCGACCATGAGCATGTTGATGTCGCCACGGATATGGGTGCCATTAGGTAGGTTCTTTTCTGCACCACCCAGCAGGAGTAAAAGGATAGCTTCCTTGATTTTATCGTGACCATAAATAGACGGAGCAAGAGACTGTGAAAGAAGACGGAAGATGTCGCGTCGTCGAGAAAGCTGGTTGATTTGCCGAATATCGGTATCAGTTAACGGTGTCTGTGCAATACCGCCTCCAATCTTGGAGGAAAGGAGATTGATATTATTTGCGAGAATTAGGGACCTGTAAGGTAATCGGAAGATGAGTGATAGATTTCAAGGGGAAAAGGAAAACGAACTTGAAGGCGCCACTTGAGCCACCTCCCACACTTCGATAGAAGCCAACCAGTTGGACACGATCACCAGGTTTGCATTTGTCTACCAGGTCATCATCAAGAATAATATCTGTACTACGGGGTAGCTGGCCAGCCGGAGCGCGTTCGGGCATCTCCTGGATGCTGATACGCTGATGATCTCGGAAGACACAACGACCATATTCCATCTGGAGGGGATGACCATCGTCATCCTGCTGAGGTGTGACAGTGGTGGTCGGTGGCAAATTTGATGTTGACGTAGTCGCGTCGCGGTATTCGCGAGCGTGAAAGAGTTTGGTTTCGGGGCAATAGTGAACGGATTTGAGCATTTTTGGGCGGACGAGGGAGCAACGGGTGATGATGCCTTCTAAAGAAATCATCTTTCCAAGATGTTCTGATTTGAGGGTGCGTGGGCTGACATGATGGTCACCAAAGGAGCCACTGAAGCCGACGCGATAGTTCTTTCCCTCGAGCTCGTGTTTGTCGGTGTCATGAACTTGAGTGACGACACCGAGGAGGGCATCGTCAAATGCGGGAAGAAAATCAATAGGTTGTTTGAGCAAGCCATCTGCATACTCTCTGTTATAGTCGCGGAGATCATCGATATTGACTATTAAACGGGTTTGATCTGTACGGAGCAAGCGGGCGATGTCGTCTCTGTAATTATAAATTGGGGAATCTGAAGTGAGGAATTCCTCGAATATACGGGTTCTATCGCGCATAAGATCATCTTGAGGAACGGGCTCGTCGAGCATCGACATGGTAGCTAGCAAAATCAGTCGTAAAAGTTGACGCGTGGAGATAGTGAATATTGACGCGACTAGGCCTGCCCTTAAGAATCACGTGGACCAGGAACGGCTAGAATTTGAAATGGATGGACCAACCAGGACCCACTGTATAGACAAATGTGCAAAGTGTAGATAATCAACGCCGGAGGTAAGACGGAGAATTAAAACATTCATTGATGGCAGAGTCGTATGATACACAACCTTGTTGTGTACATTGAAACTGAAAGGAAAAACCCGTAGAACCAAGACAGAAATAATGAAAATGAAGTACGTAACAAAGCGGCAGGTGGCCAATTCGTGAAAAAAAAAAGAGAACAGATGGAATACATGTTTTGAATACAAGGCAGGTGTCACTGCACTATTGATCAAAGTATGCAAGTTAGGTAGGAAACGAGTGTGAGATTATAATGAGGACACTGGTGTAAAACGCAAAAAGTCGAAAGGAGTAAAATCAGTCGATCATATAGTGGGCGTGCCGCCTAAATTGGTGATGTGACGCGGTCGGTGGGCGGGGCTCCAGTTTTAAGCACATAAGACGTTAATCATGACGGTGCTGCTTCAAAGAATATTTTAAACAAGTGTGAATGGTGAATGATACGAATACTTACAGGAGGATGTTCACCAGTCAGCTCCAGAACCACCTCCACCTCCACCAAATTGATCTGTAACGGGAGCTACAGCCTGTGGGTCCATGTTATGATAAGTTGTGGGACATTGTAAGGATTCTCACAGTTTCTCTAGCCTCAATTTTTAGCATCTGTTCGGGCTGTCAGTTCGGCGCTAAAATGTGGAATAAGTGAAAGACCAACTGGGAGGGCAAATGAGACATGTACTAGGAGACAAGCGAGGATGAGAGGGATAAAACATTTTGTTGGGAACATGATTTTACCGGGGTATAAGGCTGGTTAAGGAGTGACAGGGTTAAACGAGTTGCTTTTATGTGTGAGGGTATGAGAATAGGTTATGATCCACGCGGTCGACATTCTTCCGGTACCCAGGAACCCGCCTTTCTATGGCCGCCGAACCCCAGGAACCAACTTTACAAAGTACGAATCTAAGATGCGTCTTATTGCAAATGCTAATATCCCAAGTACATTAACCTTAACTGCATGTGCACCGTGCAATGTTCATCAACATCTTCACCGTCCCTAGATCCCCATAACGAATCAAATAGAATAGGGACTCGACCAGGAAGCAGCTCGATGCATCTCGTCGATTTAAAGAACCAGCAAAACCACGTTCCAATTGGCCAAGTGCCTGCTTCCTGCTTTTCCATCTTTTTCCATCAGTCTGGTACCTGTCGCGCGAACAACGGTCGGTTCCTGGCAATATGGAATCACATCCCCTACTATTTTCTACCGGTCCGATCTCCTGCCCGCACCAATCCAGTTCATCACTGCACTCATGCACGCCCGACCGCTCAAACAAAAATACCATGTCATGTGCATGTCCATACAGAATACGATAAATGCGAGTATTGAAATGCTCAGTCCTATATCGAGCGTTATAACGGATACATCAAAATGAAAGACGGAACATACCCATAACTTTATCAAGCCATCCCATGACGCCGTTACAACTTTAGACTACACACATAGAAGTTAGCATCGGTACCGAAATAAAAGAAACAGACAGAACTTACCGACTCGTGTGGTAACCACTCATGTGCGATCACAACCTTCGAGTGAGCCTGTAGCCTCGATTTAATACGTCCCGTTTTCCAGTCCCAGAACACCACATTTCCTTCCCCGTCACCACTGCTTATCCACTTCCCATCTGGAGAAAACCCAACCTGGCAAGCATACCCAGCCACGGAATGTCCCGCGAACCTTTTCTTCCTGTTTTGGCGGAAATTATCCGTACTGTAGATTAGAATTTGGTTGTCTAGCGATTGTGCAGCAAAGTATTTCTCTTAGAATATATGTCAGATCAATGGTTATCATGTGAGAAAATCGAAACCCACTTGAAGGGTGAAGCGTTACTGCCGGCATCGAATGCATATGAGGTTCTGCGATGTACTTTATCACGACCGGAATATCGTAATCCCAAGCACGGATGGTCTTATCGTCCGACGTCGTGACAAACCGTCGGTTCTCGTCCACAAAAGTGATAGTATTGACAGGACCCAGATGCTGATCATACTCTTGGGTTATCTCCCCAGAATTCATGTCATACTACACGGTCGGATTCAATGGTCAATTAAGCCCGAGACACGCTGCAGAACGTACCTGAATAATCTTCTTATCCGACATACCAGCGAGGAATATGTGCTGTTTGTCCTCATCCGGATGGAAGCGCACAACGTAGGGAGTCTTGCCGTTACTGAATCGCTTAAGACACTGGCCGGTCTCAGTATCCCATAGTTTCATCTGGCGGTCGTATGCACACGATAGGAACTTCCGCCCATCATTAGAGAACGTGACATCCTTAACGGCCTGTACATGGCCATGGAAAGTCCTCAGACAATTTCCATGAGTATACACGTCCCACAGCTGACGGCAATGAGTCGATTCGGGACAGAATAAGTTAAAAAAGATTAGCGTACCTTTATTTTTGTGTCCATAGATCCGCTAAGAAGAAGATGGCCAGTTTCAGGGAATAATCGAATTACCGAGACGCCTTGCGTATGTCCGGTCCAAGTATGGATGCACGTCTTTGGAATAAATGTCTCTTGGGAGCCTACCTCACCGATAATATGAGGCGCTTCCGCCAGAGGTGGATGCATATATGTTCGGCCTTGATAGTCGGTCATAGATTTTCCATGGAAGACGGAAGTTTCTTGGCCATAGGCGCCAGGCTTTGGTTTCGCTTTCTTCTTGGGAACCATTGGCTCAGGATCCTCTTCTTCCTGCGGTTGATCGCCAGTGTCTTCTTCAACACCATCCAAGAATCCAATCTCCTCTTCTCCGTCCCATGCAGCCCAAGGCCCAACATACGCGCCTTCGCCCTCGACGACATCAAGGTCTCCCTTATTTTTTCGCTTTCTCTTTAATTCCTTTTTCTGAGAGTTGGTAGCTCGCAAGGTATCAATTGTTGCGAAGCCATTTTCGCGAGCCTTTTCGACCGAGCCGAGAATAGACGGTGCGTTTGGATCGATCGACGGATTGACCGAGTAGCCGAGGATGGAATGTGTCAGATGTTGGGCATTAAACGCGTGGTCTGACATGGATTGTTCTTCCACATGGCCTGCGAGTGCATTCTGGTTGATAAACCGGTTTGAATCACCGAACGGATTATCGGGACCCTGGAGCGGCAACATCATCTCGTTGTAGGGAATATTGACATTCATCTGCGTGTCTGTCGGACGGGTCACTAGCGAAGTTTGATTTAGAGGGTCCTAAGGGTATAGTGAGTGACATGGTGCATGAATGAAGTGAAGTTTGAAAGACTCACTTCAGCGAGAACATGAGGCGCGGCCTGAGACGCAAGTCTGTCCTGGTCTGTGCGCGGTTTTTTGCTGGTAGGAATTTTTGCCAGACCAAAAGCATCATTTAAAGTCTCCTCGTCCGAAGAATAAGCAGCAGACATGATTGAACGTTTAATGACTCAGTCTCGGTCAGTAGTTGGTGCTACTTGGTCAAGGAAGGCGTGGTAAATAATTTCCAAAACGAAAGTGAGACCTTTATGTAATTTCGTGTGATTGGAGATTTTCATTTGTTTTCTAATTGATGATGCTGCAGCCTTCTTTCCTCGAGGCTTAGCACTAAACCCCTCATTTTTTCTGACTTCTTCCTATTATCTTACTTAAGCTTTATCATGACCGAGCGCATCGTTGGCCGGCCATGGACTGCTCAAGAGGACCGTCTTCTTGCCAACGCCGTCGCAATCCATGGAGAGTCAGACAACTGGAAGGCCGTCGCCCACTGTGTCCCGGAAAGGTCCAATAAAGCCTGCAGGAAGGCAAGTGTTGATCTCATAATCCCAATTCAGTTCTTTCAATACGTTCAAAAACAGCGATGGCTCCATTCCCTATCACCGAATGTGAAGAAAACTGCTTGGACGCCAGAGGAAGACCATCTACTTTTGGAACTCTACGAAGTCTATTCAACCAAGTGGTCTGTGATCGCGAGGCATATACCCGGTCGTACTGACGACGCTTGTTCAAAACGCTATCGTGAGGCACTCGACCCTTCCCTTAGACGTGACGAATGGTCCAAGGAGGAGGACGACAGGCTCTTTGACGCGTACTCACGTTTGCCTGGGCGATGGGGCCAAGTCGGCCAGGAGTTACAGCGCAGCGGATTAGCCTGCCGTAACAGGTGCTGTTTCTCCCGCACGTATAGATAGCCCTCACGTAACTTACGTCCGCTTTTCCTTAGATGGAGGCTTCTCGAGCGAAAAAGAAACAACCTAACCGAGCCTCAGGGTGTCGCAGTTTCAAAATTGTCATCGACCATGTCTTCAGAACCAACAAGTCCTATGTTAACGTATCCCGATCCCACACCTTGGCCGCCTCCACTCATGCTCAATCCCAGGCAATATTGGGGTCAAAATCTATCTCAGCTTGGCGGAGGTGCATCCCCAGCATCTGGACAACAACATAGCCACGTAAGGTCTCACAATGACGTGGGATTATTGGGCAGTGTAGAACCCTCAGTTTCCCATTCACAATCGATACAGCACGTTGTCAATCTTCCGCCTCCGTTTCATTATTCGTCTTCATCATTAAGTTCGGCCTTGTCTTCTCCGCACACACTTGCAACGAGGTATGAAAAAAGCATCGCGGCCCCTAGCGGCCCTTACCAAACTGGGGAAGTTCACGCCGCACCGCACCCTATTACCTCCGCTCCGCCGGCCGATAATGCGTCCGCGGTTTTCGACTATGGGGTAGTCCTCGATCCATCTATTGTTAACGCCACACGAACCACGGACTATACTGTTGGACATCGCCCCGTGTATGAGGACCACGTTGCACAATATAACGAGATCCAACGAAGCGTCGCTCCCACACCTGTACCATCTCATATACCCGTTCCCCCTCAACGTGCGTCGGAATATTATTCGCCTGCTCCTCATCATAACGAGTGTCACCATCAATTGATCCGTGATGGAGAGACTTCTCCATCACAATTATCTCGAGATTCGCGTTATCCAACTACTTCTCAGGGTCCTTCCGCTGCATTAGTCCCTACGGCACTAGGCCTACCCCACGAGGCAAATGACAGCTACTACGTGGCTCATCGTCAACAGCTTGAGCATGTTCAGCACGTTGTGATGTCATCGCCCGATTCATCATCCGTCTGCAGCGTTTCCCACGAGTATTTCCCGTCTTCATCCTCATCGGATCATTGTTCCCCCGTTTCGCCTGTCGATGGTGCATTACACCAGACACCCTGTAATCAGTACTATCCATCCCCTGAACATGTGGTGCCTGCGCACCAAGACATTAGCTCAATTTCGCGGCCCACCACAACAGCACCTGAAGCTCGTGGAAACTATTATCAACCACAGCTCAAAGGGCAATTGCAGCCTCAGTTTCATTCACTGTCGAACGAACCCAAGCTTAACGGACACTGTGCTCCTATGTCTGTTACTGATACAGGCCCACCAACCGTCTCGCCTGACTTCCATCTTGCACCATCCGCTCAGTGTTCAGCGTCTATCAGCCCATCTGCGTACGTGCATCTACGCACTACCAGTCCCAAGACCATTGGATCAGGTGCCAAACGCGGCCCTCCCCAGGATAGTTCGTCAGTGAACCTTGACGACCCTAATCCTCGCCCGACTGCACGACAACGTCAGTCATTCGTACGGAAGCGTGCTGACATTCATGCTCCTCTGAGGCTATCTTCTGACTTGCCTGCCACAAATGAGTAGGTCATCTTCTCATGGAAGTGACGCAATTGACTAACGCGATGTCATTTCTTAGCCCCTCCATAAAGCCATATGCGTGCGGTCACGAGAGCTGCTGGCCGGTGGCCGCGACGAGTTCCATTGCTTGTTACACTACTTCGCGAGGTCTTTCAGACCACAATAAGAGTTCTCATCCAGAAGACTCTGGCGGAGAGAGACCCTACAGATGTGGCTTAGACGGTTGCGGAAAATCTTGGAAGGCACGTTATTTCGGTCCCGAAGTTCCGGGAGCTGTATTAATGACATTGTTCGGCAGAGCATTAACGGGTTACAGTATCATTTGCAAATGTGCGAACGTATGCATATTCTCATCGCCGAGTATACTAACTATGGCCTAGATCGAAGGCCCATTTCCAACACGCTATTGTGTCTACTTTCGTCACCTCTTACATCGATGGCCTCGCTGTGCCTTATGTGGAGGCATCTCCTGGTGAAAGTGATGGTAAGACTAAGAAGCAATATTCTTGTCCGCATCAAGGCTGCCCGAATCGGTATAAGCAGCTCAGTGGACTCCGTTATCATCTAACCCATGTAAGGTTAACTTGCAATATTCTGAATCAAAGTCTAACTAAAGGTGTTAGGGTCATCCTACGGATCTTCCGGTTCAGTTAGATTTGGTACCTCCTGCCCTGAGTCGCAAATTGGCTGAGAAGATGCGGAAGGATGGTACCAGCTCACAATCCTTTGAGACGCACACGCACACTCCTGTTCCTGTTCCCGCCCCCTCGCAGAGCTGCTCTCCCGGGCATGTATCTGCATAATGCGTGGGCCCCTGACTATAAAATCAGCGTGAACCGGAATCGTGTCGATATTCTACTGGTCTCATAATTTTCCCAACGTATATTGGCCCTGACCATTGGTTTGGTATTATCTTTCGTCTTGTTGAATTATTAGGTGTATCGTTATTGCTTTCATTTGCTTTTAATCTCTTGCGCTCTTCCTCACATCGCTCGGTTTTTATGGCTTTTTCCTATCAGCCCGCCATTCATTTGCATTGCAGATATTTACCGCGTACTTGTATAATCACTATATGTAATATTTGATGGTGATCCCACCGTCCCTAATTGTATCTATACACAGTTCGAGCTGACAACATGTACATTTGCGAGAGTGTAAGAAAGTCATCATGAATCCATTCCGTAAGGGATCATCCGTACAAATGCTCAGCATAGGCTCATTATTTCAAAACCTCGAACATATTTTCCTCATCGAATCACCGTCCACCTCCAAATTGGCTGGCGCTGCGGTATACATGTGAGCTTGAATTTACATGACGGACAAGTAGAGATCGACTTACAGATTCCTCAGCTCTGGATCTGCCATAAGTTCTTCCATAGAGGGCGTGGCTCCACCAGATTGCATCCGATTCATCTAATAAAAAAATAATCGGAATGACTACTTGAAATATACAAGAGAAGGAAGACGCTTACCATGTTAGCAACAGTTTGGATTCGACATAAGCCTTTCCATTCCGCCGTTGGCCATCATTTGTTGTGCCATTTGCATCATCATAGGGTTGTTCATGAGACCAGCAAGATCGGGCATACCGCCTGCCCCACCCATTCCTCCCATGTTGCCGAACATGTTCGCCATACCACCGAGTCCGCCCGCACCTGCACCCAAGCCAGCGCGCGTATCTGATGGGATGTCACCTTCAGGTACGAGTGGTGGCGGGCCATCATCATCATCATCTTCAGAAGGAATGCGGTCCGTGGCATTTTGTAAACCAGATTTCAGGTTGGCATTTGTGGGGTCGAGCTCAATTCCCTTCTTGAATGCGGCAGCGGCAGCCTTGTAGTCTCCCAAAGTGTATTGCGCGTGCCTGGCGGAGCGGTGGAATGAGATCGAATTACGTAGAAATCAATAGTAGATACGTACCCCAGACGAGAGTAGGCCTTGACGAATTTAGGATCAACTTCGATGGCTTTTTCAGAGTCGAGGATTGCAGATGCATGATCGCCTTTGCTAGCGTATGCAGCTGCTCTGTTAGAGTAGTAGACGGGATTGACAGAATCGAGCGCGATGGCTTTGGTGTACGCGTCAATGGCTTCGTCATACTTCTTAACTGTCATGTGCGTATTTCCTGTTTGCTTATGTTTTTCAGCCTTGGCCTTTGTTTCTGCTGGAGGGGCAGAGGGTGTAGATGTAGATGCTGGCGAAGATACTACTTTGTCTCTTGTTTTCAAGAATACATCGAATATGGTCTGTAGCTTCGCTGGTTTAATATCCAGGCGTTGCCGCTGCTTGTCGTCCGATGGATCGACACCAAATGCCTCGCCGATGCACTGAACTACGTGAATACGCGTACTCGATGAGCTACTGAACGTAAAAGAGACGGATAAAAACATGAAACGTACTGGCGACTTCAAGACCTTCCTTGTCGTCTTGCTTGACAGTGCCGTCATCTATGGATTGGTTCAAAAAGTCGATTATGGACAGAACGAGCTGTTGCTTCTTGTCCGCCATGTTAGTGGTATCCGAAGATCTAGTGTGTCGCAAATAAGGATCAACAAACACTTCCAACTCCATGAAGACTTACTTGGTCTTCGTTCATATAGGCAGCCATGTTTTTCTGTAGCATCTCTGGCGAACCCCCTCAGGACCCGGTCATTTCGACAAAATCTGGCCAAGTTTACGAGCGTCGGTTGATTCTTAAATACATCACTGACAATGGCACCGACCCGTTGACGGGGGAGAAGCTCGAGGAGTCGGACTTGTTGACTATCAAAGCCAGTGAGTTTTTTTTTCACTGTCACCTTTTCTCGCAGCAGCATATACTGTTCCTTTTTTCTTGAATGCTGCAATCTGAAGAATTCAATTCGAACTTGCTAATCCATGCCTGCCAGACCCCAAAACTGCGCCACCACGACCTGCCGCCGCAACTTCTACCCCGGCTCTGTTGCACATGCTTCAAAACGAGTGGGACGCCTTAGTATTGGAGGTGTTTGCCTTGAAGCAACAGTACAACTCCACTCGCCAGGAGCTAAGTTATGCTCTATATGCACAAGATGCCGCCAGTCGCGTCATCGCGCGTCTCATAAGAGAACGCGATGCTGCCAGAGAGTACGCGCTTTCTAAGTATGCTCTTTATTACATCACGCTGACGCGTCTTGTCCTTGTTCCAGAGCTCTGGCTAATGTCCAGGCAACTATGGGAATCGCTCCAGCAAGCGGTGCGGCTGAGGACGTGGAAATGGCTGAAGAAAATGGTGCTCAGGAAGGTGCCCTTCCTAAAGAGATAGTCGACCAGATCGATGAGACCCAGCAAAATCTCTCTGCTACCCGCAAAAAGCGCAAAGCTCCAGCCGGTTACACGAGTACTGCAGAGGTGAAGACGTTTGTTGCAACACACACCATCCCGTCTTTGCACTCGGCCTCTCCTGCTGGCATGACTTCTCTTGCCGTTTCCCGTCTTAACCCGTCTCAGTTCCTTACGGGTGGAAATGACAAGATTGTCCAGCTGTACGATAGAAGTACAGACAAGGTATTAGCCTCTCTCAAAGGTCACACGAAGAAGATCAACCAAGTCGCTTTCCGCGAGCACGAGGGTGAATCGACTTTGGTTTTGTCTGCCGGTGCAGACAAAATCGCCAAAATTTGGGCGCATGATAGCGCCTCTAGCGAGTACATACCAAAAGCAACCATTCGGACACACAAGGGAGAACTCACTGGCCTCGTTGTGCATCCCACGAACTCTATCTTTGCGTTGTCTTCACTTGACAAGACATATTCACTCCATGAACTCTCCAACTTTACTCAGGTGTACCGATCAGCCCCCGGAGAAGATGCTTTCACGTCCCTTGCAATTCATCCCGACGGTGCTCTCCTTGCACTGGGTACTCCCTCATCCAAGATTCAAATATGTGATGTGCGCTCCGGTAACATAGCTGCATCCATCACACCGCCAGATGCATCGCCTTTCACCGTCAATTCACTCTCATTCTCCGAAAATGGTTACCATCTCCTCGCTCCGGACAGCCCATCGTCCGTTGCCATCTGGGACCTGAGGAAAATGAAAACTGCACACACTATTCCGCTCGGGGAAGGGTTCAAAGTCAATAAGGTGTTGTATGATTACAGCGCACAGTATCTAGGAGTCGCGGGCAGCGAGGGCATTCGTGTGTTTGCTCACAAGTCATGGGATGAGCTTGTACGTTTCGAAGAAGCAGGGGATGTATCAGATATTGTGTTTGGAGAGCAGGGCAAGGAGATCTGGGCTACGAGCGGAAGGGAGGTCAGGATCTGGGGTTTACCTGCTTAAATGTATGACTTTTTGTCTGTATTTCATCGTGCCGTTGTGTTCGCCTTTGCTTAACACTGTTATTTCTTCAAGTCTTCGCAGCTTAGGGGCCTTTTCTGCAAATTAGTAAGCTGAAGCGTGCTGACACCTCCAGTGACGGCACCAAGATCAGAGGCGCATGAATACATGACTGATTGAGAAATATCATTTAACGAACGAAAGCAACTGTAGTAATGTACTTTCGATATCTTCATATCTTGTACTGTATGTCAATATCGGTATACTCAAGTCCGAGTGCGCTGGCGCCAGATGAACGGTGCACCTTTATCATCAACTTCTGTGTCATATAGTCTGATTGTGTCAATCGGTACATACAAGTGCGTTAATGCAATCGCTAAAATCCGAAACAAATAATGGTAATGCGAAAGTGATGCAACAAAGGGTAATCATGTGTTAAGGACAGTGTTGTGGTCGGTTAAAGGTATATGAAAGAAGTTTGCGTAGTGAATCATGCAGTGGGGAATTTACAGATAGTAATACAAAGGCCGTCTGTCCGATGTACCATTTTTATGACCAAGTCGAAGGCCCAAATGTCTCGCCAGGAGGCATCGCGTAGAGGGGCGTGCCCATTGCATCTGCAGTGTACTGCCAGAAGGTGTTACCCCACCAGTTGAGCGTGATTCCACCTTTCGGCATCTGAAGAAGGAAGAAGATGACTACCATGCTGAGCGCGACGCCTGCGTCGAGACCAGCGGAGAGGATGTAGTTGTAGCGCATCCACCACCTGAAGTGGTAGCGGCGCATACACCACTGGAATATGAAGCCGACGATTGCCCAAGACGCGAAGTTGATGCCATTGGCAGGAGGCATAGCGCCAATGCCTGCGAAGAATACCGGGATGTTGATATATCGCCAGTAAGAGAGAGGGTAACGGCGAGCGAGGTAGTAGAAGGGGATGGGGAAGAAGGCACCGACGGCAAAGAACCAGAGCAATGGGCTGTAAATGGCACCCGGAGTGAACAGACGGTGAGGGCCGATGCTTCCCCACAGGAGTGAGGCACTCCCGAAGGTGGAGGTGGACGGGCAGACGAAGAACTGAGGCTGGGTAGGTGTGCAGATGTCCACGATGTTGGCGAACATCCAGTTCTGCACAAGCGTGACAACGATGCAACTGAGGAAGGCAGCGAGAACCTGTGCCGTGAACATGAGACGCGGGGGAACCTTCATATAATGACCAAGCTTCAAGTCGCCAGCAAAGCCAACTGCCTGGTTTGTACCCATGTATGCGCTCGCTTTGAATATCATGACAGCGATGGGTTTTCCAGGAAGCAAATAGGCACCAATCATCTCGAACATGACGTTCAAGGCGATCTGCTGATTGGTAATTGCTTGAAGCATGCCGACCGGAATCGCGAGGAGTGCAGCGAGGGCGAGAGCAACACAAACAGCCCAGATAGGGAGATCCGTGGGGAAAATTTCCACAGTGATGAAGAGGAGGAGAAGCATCACGAGGCCCAGGATGACATACCACCACTGAGGAACTTCGGGGTATGCCTGCATCAGGCGCGAGTGAATATCACGCTCATCTCTGAGACTGCTCTTGAAGCGGCGAACGATGTCACGTCGGTACCACACTACGATAATACTGTCAGAATGGGGTAACACGCATAACCAGAAGAACCCACAGAATGTGTGCACGACTACTGAGGAGAACGCGGCAAATGCGACACCATATGCAACAGCCATGGTTGCCGTCATGAAGACGGGCGAGTAAGCCTCGTACTGCGCGACGTTGAAAGAAGCATTGACGACCACCTGAGCAGCGTCATAGGGCAATCCGGTGTTGTCGAAGGTCAAGTAGGACGAGATTGGTAAGTGTGCGGTGAACCAAGTGTTGGTGACTGCGAGACACTTTAAGTATATTACACAATGAAGGGGGAGAGAACATACAGTAGATGATCGGCGTAATGATCCAGAAACAGATCACAAGGGCAGCGGCCGTGTTGGCTTCAGACCACCAAGGCGTCACCAAGGGATTTCCGATGTACGAGATCATGGACCAGTCGAAAGTGAGAATGCCCATCCCAAGACCAGTGGACGTGCCAAATAGCGCGTTCACGGCCACGTTGTCAGGTGCAATCCAGCAGACCCAGTTGAACATGCTCAGTCCAGTCCACAAGTATCCAGGTACCCAGTACCATACGAAACTGCATCCCAATGCAATGCAAAAGAATTTCTCCCGGGAAATGTGGCGACCCTCAGGCTTGCCAAATGATTTGTGTAGAGTGTTGAACAAGGCGGAAGTAACAAGTGCACCAGGCCAAATCATGCTACTGGGCCAAACAAGGAATTTGCGAAGAAGACCACCCATAGAGAAACCGATGAGCTGCGTTGAAAGAACAAGGCAGAGTTGATAGGAGGTGGTAAGGGTCTGATTGTAGAAGACTTTCTGTGTCGCGACAATGTCGGTGGCATAGGCACCGCTCACTACAACATTTGCCATGACAGTGATGAGTACATGTTCCTTGACGTTGAATGGTCCTGGGTTGAAGGACCAGATGTATCCCATGGTATTGAAGCGCGTTGTGGGGAGGACTCGCTCCATACCTTTGCCAAGAGGTAGGGCGGTCAACTGAGCAATAATACCGGTGATGATAATGGAAGGGTCTAACAGTGACTTGAGCAAACGAAACCAAGAGCGATGAGAGAATGTTGACTTACAGCGCATAGAGAAAAACTGATTAAGAGCCGAGATGAGAATGGTATAGAATATACCCAAAACCCACATGCGGAACGTATTGACGTGCATGGTGGGGTCATCGATGCTGGCCACAGCAGCACGAACTTCAGGGTAAGGTGACTCACTGTCATATGACGGTCAACAGAGTAATAGCAAAACACCATAAGACTTACTCGTCATAGTCGAACGTCGAAGGTGTGGCAGTCCTCGAAGCTGTAGAGTAGCGCATAGACTCAACTCGGGACTCAACATCGAAGTCCGAGGCACCGCCGGAGTATTCTGACATTGTTATCTTTTTATGCTCAAGCTCATGTACCTCGGTAGTGGATGAGGCAGGAGAGGAAGGTGAAGCATAGTAGTCAAAGTTAGGGTCATTGAGATGCTCCATGAGAAAGTCCACATCCTCGGGAACATCAGGCACGGCTCTGGCGCGAAGGTTCTGAAGAGCGACAACATTCGTCGCGCTGTTGTAAGGTCTAGTCTCCATGTCGAGACCGAATGAGATAGCACTGTGAGAGAGGAAGGCAAGCACTGGCAAAGAGCACAAGGAAGGCTCAGCAAACAGGTAGTGCGAACACGGGGGGAGAATAATTTCCTGATGATTCCAGGAGATCTGACGGCCTTTTGAAGGCGGACGAAACGTCCAAAACTTGCCGGTTATACTACTGTGGACGTGGTGACCGCATCTATTTTGGAAGCTAGAGTCATCTGTGGAAGAGTTCTGCCCTGGAAGCGCACTATACAATAAGCCTAATTAGACATGGTCCACTGCAAAACAAAAAGCTGGGAGAAGGCCCGGGTAGTGATCGGCACATCAAAACTCAATTGTTCATGTCTCGTTTGATAAATAACCCACTAAATTGAAAATTTGGAGAAAGGTGCCACTGACGTTCTCTACTGATATGATATCATGCAAAGAGTCAAACGACAAAGTGGCACTCGCGATGGATTCGTAGCCATGAGGCATTGAAACACACGGCTAGAGCTAGGAACATATCGGGTGACGTTATCTCATACTATGTGATAATTCCCCTGGTCAAGATGCGTTTCGAGAAATGTTTATTGTCTTGTGAGAGCTGTTATTGTTGTGACCGAAGAAACTTGATCCATTTGGTTGACAATAAGATGTATTGCTTCCGAACTTGGCCATTGCCAATTTAGTTATTTCCGTCACGTGATGCAGACGCGCCACCAGCCCCCATATAGCGCGTTTCCTGCCGGGGTTCGCCATATATATAAGTGGGGTGTCTTTGAATGACCTGCCCGGTCACCTGGTCATGTATCTGCAGAAAGGTCTTCCTTAGTTCCTAACACCAAAAATATAAGACATCACGCGCGGTTGATTGCGAATTTCATGCTCAGGATTGCGAATACAAGATTGGTGTTACAAAATCAAATTCCACTCTCCTACGTGGTTCTCACCTCACTGTCACTTGTCACCGAGCCCTGCCACAAGTATGTCTGCTGTCGAAACCGTCACTGAAGTCTCGCAGGCCCTGCCAACACTTAACCTCTACGCAGGGGGCCAAGAGCAGAAGACAGAGTCATACTCCTATGCTGATTTACTTCCCCATTTCTCACCTGAGCAATATCCACCGCTCACACCCTTCAAACATGAAGATCCAGGCTTCCGTGCACTCAAACACGCAGACCCCCGTGCATTCCTTAAGAATGCGACCAGCGTGGTGGAACTAACACCCAACTTAGGAACAGAGGTCCATGGTGTGAACCTTACAACCCTTGATAGTGAGGGAAGGGACCAACTTGCGCTCGAAGTATGTCAATTTCCGTGATATGACTATCGTGGCTCATTGTCTGCAAGGTTGCGAGAAGGGGACTTATGGTTTTCAGGGGTCAGCATGAGTTTATAGATAGAGGACCTGATTCGTACCTAGAGTGGGGACGACACTTTGGAAGGTTTGTCGTGCTTCTTCTTTGTCCGCTTAATTTGGCAAGTGCTCCTACCGCACCACACGTCGAATTTTCATTGGTATTAGAACGATTATTGACTAATTTGTCATGCAGGCTGCACATTCATCCTACGTCAGGACACCCCAAGGATTATCCACAAATTCACCTTGTCTACAAGTGAGTAGTGCAAGTCCGTGCATATTCATTACTCACTGATTGTGGGCCTCAGGGATGCAAAATCGTCCTACAACTTTGAAAGGGAGGACAGCATCACGTCGACTGTCTGGCACTCCGATGTCTCGTACGAGCTGCAGCCCCCCGGGCTCACAACGTTCTTTCTCCTCTCGCAGCCGACGACGGGTGGAGACACATTGTTCACATCCCAGATATCGACTCTTAAGAAGCTCTCGCCCTCGTTTGTCGCCTTCCTGCGCACGCTCAGTGCAGTGCACTCAGGGGTCGAGCAGGCTCAATTCTCGCGCTCCGGCAAGCGTGGCGGCATCGTGAGACGTGAGCCAGTGGAGCATGTCCACCCACTTGTGCGGCGTCACCCGGTCACTGGAGAGGAAGCATTATATGTCAACCGCCAGTTCACGACGCGTATTGTTGGCCTGAAGCGTGAGGAATCTGGTGCGTTCGGTCACTGCGAGGAATGTCAACTGGACGCTTATAATAGATACCTGTGATCAGAGACTATTTTGAAGTTCCTTTACGATCATGTCGATAAGAGTGCAGACCTCCAAGCCCGAGTGAAATGGCAGCCTGGCACCGTCGTGCTCTGGGACAACCGTGTCACTGCGCATGTAAGTCTGACATACGAGCGTCATGCCTTGCTGGACTTACACTCACCACGATTAATTAGTCTGCTATCGTTGACTATGGAAAGTCGAATGAACGCCGTCACGGTGCACGTATCACCCCGCAGGCAGAGAGACCGATCCCTGCTCTGGAAGGTCTTGAACTCCCTAGTCTTTAATGGATCGTGACATAGCATTGAATGAGAACTGGCAGTCTTGAGTGCAACCATGTATGCATTAGATCTATGATGTTGCAATATGAAAACATACTATGATGCGAGGTGGTACATTGAAGGCGGACCCTCTTAGTGGCAGTGCTGACTTGGAGACGTTGAGACCTCGTACTGCATCCGCGGCGCGCCAATACTAATGCAACCTGCATTGTGCAACATTATTAGTGGTCCACACACTACTTGCCTGTTAGATATTTCCCGTGCAAGCCATGTCTTCCGACAGGAGAATATTATACGTAGTCTACTGCGGTGTCGCAGTAGCCGTTTTGAAAGAGTTCAATGCCGTGGTTACTGAGCCGTACATGGTGACCACATTCAACTTCGCCTCTCACCGGATTCACCTTTCTGATGATAATCTAGGATGAACCTTTCCATGTACCGCAGGCATTGGCCTACTGCAGAGGTGAATGGTCAACTTGGGACCCAAAGATTACCACACCACCGGGACTGTACGTCGTTCACAAGTACCTATCGTTCCTGTGACAACTTCATTATCTCGCAGATACATGCTCAGTGTATTGCTGCACCGGGTCTTTATGTTCAAATGCAACTTGAATTTGCTACGCCTCACCAACACCCTTACCCTCTTTGCGTTACCGCTTGTCCTCACGCGATTGCTGGGGTTCCATCAGCGACGCCGTTCTCCACCAAAATTAACACCCTCGATCGAGGCGCTTGTTCTGTCTAGCTTTCCGATAGCGTGGTTTTTTGGATTCCTATATTATACAGAGGCTCCGAGCCTTGTTTCAGTTTTGTGTACCGTAGTCGCTGCGACACAGAATAAGCACTGGCTTGCTGGTTTGGTACGTAATTCAACCTGCCCTCCTATAATGCATGCTAACAACTCTAGGGATGTCCCTAGTTAGGAATTGTGAGCTGCCTCTTCCGTCAAAACAATGTGATTTGGGTGCTGTACGCGTATGCAGCGAGCCAGCTCATGCGTTTGCGATTCAAACGCGGAAACGATAAACTACATGATCCCCCCGCCTTGGGCGCTGGGCCAGGTGAGTTATGCCAAGGTTGCCATGCCTGTGTTGATGAGTTCATATCGCAATTTCCAGGTGACTTTATTCGATCGATCATGAGTGCCCCAAAAGCACTACCTGAGTTACTCCCCGCGTTTGCTCCTTATGCGGTAGTTCTCGCATTCTTCGGTGGTTTTGTGATTTGGAACGATGGCATCGTGCTTGGTGCGTTTTTCTCGGTCATAATTATCGAGATAACCGCCAATGTTATGTATAGGCGATAAATCCAATCACAGTTCCTTCATTTCACGTGCCACAGCTGTACTACTTTATTGCGTTTGCAACAATAATTGGGTGGCCGGCAGTCCTTTGTGGTGAAGGCGGCCCGTTGAAGATTGCCACCGATGTCATTTCGCGCATGTTTGGGAGTAAAAGGTGATCGAGTTAATTATAAGTAAGCGCGCGGATGCTGATATGGATCGTATGCCATAGGAGAATACTTCTGACGGCCATTATATCGATTTTCATGGGTATTACTATCCAGCATTTTACGTGAGCTTCCCTTTACTGGTTGATAAGCAACTTAACCTTCACGGATTCAATGTAGTATTCATCACCCGTTCCTCCTGTCTGATAACCGTCATTTCACCTTCTATATCTGGCGTCGAGTATTCATGCTGCATGCGGCAGTACCTTACCTATTTATTCCGGGGTACCAGGCATGCGCCTGGGCGTGGTGGATTCGTGTTGGTGAGTCGTTTTCTAGATTCCAGAATACATGGATGACATTAACCCTGGACGTTATTCATCAGCCTGTGATCAATCGCTTTTGCAAACGTTGGTCCTGCCCGTTTTAATTTTACCTACACTGCTGCCTACGCCATTACTGGAACCGCGGTACTTCCTGGTGCCATATATCCTGCTCAGGGCTCAGATTGTGGATGTGCAGCCCTACGGTATTTTTGTCGAGGGCCTTTGGTACATGGTAATAAATGTGGCAACGACGTATGTGTTTTTGTACAAAGAACGGGTGGGAGTTGGGAGGTTTATGTGGTGATGTATATAGAGTAATAAATGGAGTAAACAGGGGTCACATATTTGGACCCATTGATGCAAACAAGACCACACGCGTTCGAATGGTTCGGTTCGAGTTGAAAGGAAGTCAGCCATCTCAATCAGCCTATACGATACATTCACAGTGCAGATCATAACGAAGCTCCAATTCCCCTAATGTCACAAGAAACGAGTACTCAGCCATCACGGCCTTCTAAACCAATCACTCGGAGTTCCATCCGACACTCACTCAATTTCACGTCAGTAGGGAAAGCTTTGGCGGATGTAATCAACAAGGAGTCCCGCGACCGCGAAAAGCCTAATGAGAAAGCCCTGAAGAAGTCCAAGGACTCTTCAAGACGTTTAAGTGCTATTGCACTCATGAATTCTAGCGCAATCCCCCAGGCTAACGCCACTGTAACTGTATCCTCAAAGTCAAAGTCCCCAACTCCGGGGCACGCCAAAGAAGACGCTTCTCCATCCAAGACCATCACACGCAGCGCAAGGAGACAGTCTGGTCTCCTCAGACCTGCCCCTGCTTGCGACGACATGGGGATAAAGGTGCTAGACGCCGTTGGCGTTAGTCCTTCCATGAAGCGTTCGTCTTCACTGCGTCCAAGGACTGCTCCTGCACCCACATCATCTGCATTGCCGAAATATCGGCCCAAGTCCACCCTTATAGAGTCTGTTCTACCCAAGAAACCTGTTTCTCCTCCTCGCTCCAGCACTCGTAGGCGGCTGAGCTCATCAGAGGAAGAGGACAAGGTTCATAGCCTCCGTTCCAAAGGCAACGTGGAGGAGAAGAAGCCCAAGAGTTCGATTAGTCCTCTCCCTCACAAAGCACTTACAGTAAAGGTTAACTTGCCTAACCTTACTCCTCCTTCGACCCCTTCCAAGATCTGCAAGTTATCAACGCCGAAGAAGACTTCGCCTGCCAAGGTAGAGTCCGCACGACCTGGTAAAATCATCAAGACAACAACTATTTCTTCTGCATCCAAGTCAAACATTGCACGTCCTCCGTCGTCTTCATCCTCTCATAGCTCTGTCTGCTCACAGAGTTCACCTCAGACACCCTCCAAGAGTAGCTTTGGGTTCGGACGCTCAAAAAACAATCAAACATCAAGCCCTCTGCGTTCTACCGGTCGTCCTGCCCCTGAGTCGCCTCTTGCCCATCACACTCGTCAAAATTCCAGTCCGGCCCTTGGCAGAGGTACAACACCCACGCCACTCTCACAGCTTGCGGAGGAAGACAGCGAAGATTCCATTGAAGCTGATGATGTGGAACTTCTCCTCGCCCCTGCTGCTCCTCTTGGGGCACCCACACCTGCGATACCCAGGATTCGGGCTGTTCAACTGCCGCACAATGAGTTAGAACCTGAAACGCCCTTGCGCCCCTCTCATTTCCTTCCTACACGAGCGAATCTTTCCTACCTGTCGCCTGTACCTCCGACCTCACAGAGCACGCCTGGCCTCCGCCCTCCCAAAGGCCATAGTGCAAATCGCAACTCGATTATGTCTTGGGAACAATTGGCAAGTGATGGATCACAGATAATTGCACAGGAAGAGGTAGAAAAAATGCTTTCAGAGATTCAGGCGCCTTTCACGCCAATTGGCCCTTCACCGAACGTCAGTGTTCTTGCACTTGAAGTTCCTGAAAGTCCCTGCCTCTCTGCTCTACCATCGCCTGGTGGTTATGGGTCAATATCTCAGGTTCTATTACCGGATGTTACGCCTTCGCCCGCAGTGCACCATTTCAACCAGATGTTTGATACATCTACGGAGCTTCCCGCTCCTATGGACTCGGGCACAGTTACTCTACTTCGCTTACAAGTGGCATCCGCCGAGAACACGGCAAAGGAACGCCTCGTTCGCTTGCAGGAGTTGGAGGAGCAGTTGCACGCTGCGAAACATTCTCGTGTTCAGGAGACTGAAGAACTCGCGAAGCAAGTCTCCTTCCTGGAGCAACAACTTCACATTAGTGTTGAGGCGAGGGAAAGGCTGGACGAGGAGCGCTCTGCTTTCACTGCATCCCTGCAGGACCAGCTGCACCACGCAGAAGCTTCTAGCAAACAGGCATCCAACGCTGCTTTTGCGCGTGGACAGGAAGAGGCTGCTGCGTCGTGGGCAGAGTTGCTCAATCAGAAGCAGCAAAAGTGGGAAGTATGTTCTCTCGCTCGTGAGATTAAAGTGGAATGGGGATCTGTCAGAGAGCAGGCGGAGGCGGAACAAGAATTTTTGCAGGCCGGTCGTGAGACGCTGAAAGTATTTCTGGCTATGCTGGATCAAAGCCAGAAGCAAGTGCAGTGTCTGCTTGCTTGAACGACGTGAGTGCCATTGGAATCTGACTTCACACCAAGGCTTCTAAATGTCGAGTTACAGAGTTATGCTTATGAGCTTCATCTATTCCTTGGATTAATTTGTACTACACAGATGACCACTCATTCTTCTCGTTAACATCTATGCCCGTGTACTGGTACATAGTACAGATTACCTATCATCTAGCCACAACTACGAATCTTCTGAATGTTATTTACTTTTCACTCAGAAAGAACGTACTACATAACATGGTACGCCTATCTGCTGCGAAACGGGGATACACATTATGTATGTATGGTAGATTTAAAAATACATGTCAACCAGTTAAGTCCTGTAAGATACAATAACCATATGGGTGATATAATCTGACTAGACGAGGTTATGCGTAGCAGTCCAGGGCGACTGTGCACGCATCCAGGAGGCAACCATAATTATCTGCCACAGTAGTCTCTCTTAGTCTACCAAGAATGGCTTCTTGAAGGGTATCCCGTCTAAAGACTGTAATCAGCGTCAATAGCTTCAACAAGTAATTCACGCACTGAACGGGGCCGTATGCAACTTTGACATCGCATTGCATAGATTGGATCGATATAGGCCAAGAAGAGAACGTCCCAGTGTTAAATATGAAAGATATCAAGGCCTTCGCCTTCTTGCTGGGGAGCATGACTGTTACAGTTGCAGTAAACCCCGAATCATCGTCTTCTCCGTGAATGATGGAGACTGGGTACTTGATCGCGACCAACTTTAGCTGGGCTAGCAGTTGAGAGCAAGCAGACCAGTAGTCTCCTAGACGTTCGACGATCTAAAATTGTCGAGTTCAGTGAGTTTACCTGACACTCGAAAACCTCCTACCTGTCGAACGCTGAGATTTCCATCGGATCGTGTAATGAGTGAGCTCGCTGTTTTTAGCATCAACGGGCTGAGAGCGGGGAATGCATCTTTGTACTTGAGCTTCGCATTCTGGACTCGCGTGATCGAAACTTCCTTGACAAGTGGGCGAAAGTGCTCGCATGGGACGGAGACATCGTAGGATGACGCATATCTGAATTCAAAAAGCTCTGGCAGGATTTTTGTGACTTGCAGCATGTGGAGATTTTGAAGGGCTTCCAGCTCATCTGGGCAACATGTCAGCATCGCAAAAAGAATCTTTGAAAATACAAATCTGCCACCTTTCAATCTGAAGACCTCGACATGCGTGCTGTTTTTCTGCACCTGGACTTGTCGCTCAGCCATCTGGATAGCATTGGTGGTTTCAAGCTTCTGAGTTTCAATCTCCTCCAGCTTCTCCTGTAGACGATCCAGTTTGGCTTTACCCTCATCGACGTCTGCTCGGAAGGCTTCAAGCGCAATACTACAAGGGTGTCGCTCAATCAACTAGTTTAGGACTACCTAGCTCGAGGGACACTCACCTTTGTTCTTGAATGGTCGCTTTCAGCTCATTCAGATAATCTTGGTCACAGTTCTCGAGTTCAGCGACGTCGACCTGTTCTTGCTCCAACTCGCGGAGAAGATTCTCGTATTCCTCGTTGAGAGCAGGCACAACTTCCTGGGCTTGACGGATAATATTTTCGAGAACTTTAGCATCCTGTCATCGAAAATATTAACGCAACGAGACAGCAAGGGATACTGAGCATACCGCCTCAAGATCTCGAAACCCTTGATCCGCCTTTTCATACAGTTGCTCAACCCACTGCATCTTCCAATCGTACCATTCTGACTTGGCCTGTGTATGTTTGTTGACCTTGATTAACTTGAGCTGATGGAGAAGCTCATTCTGGCCTTCGTCATCCGCCAGCACAAATTCTTGGAATAGCTGAGGAGTCATCTTGAGAGCTTCGTCTTCTGCTTCTTTGTAGATGCCTTTGATTCGCTCGATCCAGAGTTGCAGGTCTTTACTGACGTGTGTGTACAACTCAAGCTGGGGCACACCGACCGCCATTGCGACTACATATTCAGATAGAGGGATCTCGCTTTCCGTGGACTGTCGTCTGGAAGGACGAAGGGCAGATGGGTGCACGGTAGAGCGACGGGGGGCAGCAATCTCATCCATGAACCGTATCCCGGTCATCTCGAAGAATTGCTCTATGGAGATTTGTGGGCCATCTTCAGGAGGGAAGCCTCCTTCTGCAATATCACCGCGCCATTGCTCGGTAGGGTTAGAAATCTCCTCGGAGATGCGGGCTAATGGTGTTAGGTCTGACGTTACCTCCATTCCCTCAAAATTAGGCTCTGGAAGGTCTTCTGGTATCTTTTCCGGTCCAGGGTTGGGTGGCCGAGGGGATGCGCGGACCGGTGTTGATGGGCGGGGTGAATTGCGTGAAGGGCTTTGAGGTCGAGGGAAAGGAAGTGCGGGGGACTCTCTCGCAGGCGATTTCCTGAACAGGTCAGCAACCGGGGAAGCCCTTCCTGGCATCTCATAGACGGGAGGCTCTCTAGTTGGAGAGTCGTGCAGCGGTTCAGGTGTGGTCTCAGCCCTAAGGTCCTCCTCCTGTGACCCCAAGATACTTGCTTTCTCCGTCGTCTGTCTAGCAGCTCCCTCCTTCTCCCCTGCAAGGGAAATACCCTTCTTGTTGATATACGCGGCTGCATTCTTCGCTGGAGCAGGAGAAGCAGCGGGAGCCGCTCCCCCCATGCTTTTCCTCTGTGCGAAGTGTCCCGAGGGACGGCGAAATCCAATAGACGAGCGTCTACTCAGACCAGAAAACGGCTCTGCATGTACTTGAAACGCCGCCTTCTTGCTTGGGGAGAGCCTTGGAAGCCTGCTCGATTGCATGGGTTGCTCCTTGGAGAAATCATTTAGTGGTGCAGTTAATTTCCCGGGACCAGCTAGCTTTTTGGCGGGACTGGGTCTGTCTTCTGATTCTGAATCGTCGACTATGCTTTGGGTCCTCTTTTTTGGCGAGGGACGAGCAACAGGAGGGGCAAAAGCTGCGGAAAACCTGGCTTTGCTCGGTGATTTAGTAGGTGAAGGAGGACGATGGCGGGCTGGTGACGCTGGCGTTTGTCCGCGAGGTGTGAAGGAAAACGAGAATGGCTTGGGAACCACGGCAGGTCGTGGAACGGGTGGGAGTGCATTGAGGATCTCCCCAGGTGGCGGGGCTGGTTTGAATACGGCAGGTCTGGCTGCTGACTCCACATTGGCACACTCCTGTGGTTCGGCCTGAGCAACATCCCCATGAGCCTCACCTATTGGTTGCGCGGAAGGGGATGAAAGGTCCGTGCCTGTGACGTCCAACTGGTCCTTGCTAGGCTCCTCCTGACTGTCATATGTGGACGTGATATCCATAGTAGAATTGTCATCCTCGATGCCAGCACCAAGACTAACCCGGCGCATGAGCTGAGTGACATTGATAGTCTGGTTGCCGTCGTTTTCCACACCATCCTGCGCAAAACTATCTTCAGAGCTACTGAAACTGCCGTTTGGTTGTCCAAATTCTTCAAGATCTATCTCGCTTCCAAATCCGAGGGATTCACGAGCTGCTTGGAGCCTTGTGAGAGCATGAGTGATCTCCATGTCTTGCTCCCCATGTTCATCCTCTTCGTCGGATGAGGGAACGTATGGTATTTCACCAGAGTGAGTTACTGATCGAAGAGCAAGCCAGGCTTCACTTGGTGGGGCTGGTGGACGGATGAGTGGAACAGTGAACTCCATTGGCTGAGTGACATCGCCTTCAGATACGAATGACTGAGATTGGTGGGAGTCATCTTCAGTATAGGACTGATCTGCAGGGGTCTGTTGCTGACCACCCTCGTCATGTTTGTCTGGTGACGAGATTATAAATGCTGGATCGTCGGAGTCCATATCCATGGACTCTTCTCCTGCACCATCGCTGAAAGCGATGGATCGAATTGAGCTTCGGCGATGGAATTTGCTTGCTCCAGGATATGCATTTTCATCCGTAGGGCCTCGCTCAACTGCCTCCTGCACAGGCGAGGACTGAGGGGAAGCAGTGCTATTCGTATTTTGTTCCTGTGTTTCGAATAGCCGAACATGTGCACGGTCTGCGAAGCTAACACGCCGTGCAAGAGATTTTTGCGTATTTTCGTGAACATGGGTCAGATCCATAGATTGCGTGGCATCTTCATCATCCTCAGGAATGTTGACTGCTGGTTTGAGGATACTTTTTCGGGGAGCCTGTTGGACTGTAAGAAAAATAAATTGCAGTAATTCATATAACTTACCAGTGACCGACGTGCCTTCGAAACAAGATTTATCTTGTCGCCAGGTGCAATAGAGTGTGCTCGCCGCTTCTTTCCTGGATGAAGAGGTCGGTTCTGGTTGGCTACCGCGATAGATTTGCGTCTGCTGGGCGACCCCCTACCGCCATTAGTGGCCATATCCAAGCTGTGTGTGTCCGAGCAAAGGCCAATCAAGAAAGGTGATCGTTGTTGTGAACGTTGAACGATATGTGGAACTTAATGGCTATTGTGCTAAACACGTTCACGTGATACAGATTAGACGCGTCTCGTCACATGACACTATCAGGAAGTTTGTGCTACAACGCTACATATAAGATACTGTATCTTCGCAATTTCTGCCATTTCATTGCGATCGATATCCTTCACTTAAACGAGCGTAGATGGACAAAAAATGTAGCATCAAGTATTGTACACAGGTCACGATTATCTGTGAAGTTCCCAAGAGAAAACAAATGAGTAATAGATCACCAATCATTAGCTTATACGCATCCGCCTGATGTTCTTGCTTCCTCCACCCTTTTGCGCATTTTTCTCTACGGCACCAACTACTTGTTCTAATTCTTCCTCAGTCACTACAGCCTTCTTACCCAGTTGCCTTCGAGGAGTTGTCAATATCTTGTCCAATTCGTGGCACAGATCTCACCTCTTCTTTTTCTTCGTGGTATCAAGGTCGCCTTTCCCTGGCACAAATACAACATCAGGACCCCCGTAAACTGCCCGTGCCTTTCGATTGGGTAGAATCGTAACAGAGTCGTCAGTGCCACCTGTGCCGTCCTCCAAGAGAGAAAGATCTTTGATTTGCTTCTCCAACAAAGACACAGTCCGAGTCGATCGACGACCAGTTCCAGCTGTTGGATTCCCTACTTTCCCTTTCCCTTTCGCTACAGCCTTGTCGGCCATTTTAAATGGTCTAGACTTGGCCTTTGCTAGAGGGGCGTAGTCGTCGGACTCGTCGTATTCAGTAATTGGGTCGTCCTCCACGCTCCCTTCTTCCTCTGTCATTTGCTCGATTTCGCTCTGAGCACTTGAATTGGTCTCGCCCAACATTCGGTTGGAGGTGAGCTCTAATTGTGTTTTGGCCTTTCCCTTGCCGTCAAGAGGTGATGAAGATCGGCTTGCTTCGGAGAGAGCCGACTCATCACTATCCTCGATAATTTCTACGTTCTAAACCGGAGTCAACTCCGGACCAACAAAGGCGCTGTCTTCCTTAAACTCACCTCATCTTCAATCTCACCTGACTTCTCGCCCTCCTCCACCAACTCTCGGCGCTTTTGAGGGGAGCCAATTAGTCCAGCTTGATGCAGCATGTCGATCTTAGCATCCATTTTCCGCTCGTTTCGCTCCACCTGGCAAAGGCTGTAAGTTGATGTGTTGCCCTCGAGGTCCAGACTTTACCTCGCTCATAAGCCTCTGGCTGTAAGTCTTCTCAATTTCGCGCATCCTTGCTTCCATTTCCTTCATAACGTCTTCGCGGGTTTCCGCTTCAACTATTACACAACGCATCTCCGCCTCGTAGAGCTGCGAAAAATGCTTCTTGTTGAACAGACATCGACTTTTTTGATAATAGAATCGTACCCGCAAGCGCAAGTCTTCTATTTCATCAAACAAGGCATCTACTAGCGGGTTGATGGGTTCATCGTCTTCCTCTTCACTCACACCATCTTCCCTCACTTCATCCTCTGTATGGAGCAGAATGATGAAGGGTACGATGGATAATGTAAAAACGCACCTTCGAGGACCTCGAGATGGGCTTCGCTAAGCTTCTTATTGGGGAGAAGACTCGATATTGTCACCTTTCTGGTCACAGCCCTGGGCAGAGCTGAGCCCACTGTACTCCGCTTGCTTGGATTGGTTTGTACGCGAGGCACAGGTGCGTTGTTCACGGTCGTCGAAACTTCTCTTGCGAGCGCAGAGAATTTCATTACATGAGAGTTCTCTTCAAAGCCGGTATCATAAGGATTGATGTTGACGATCATCACCTATCACCCACCATCAGCTCTCTATCAACTGCTTGCATAATACTCCAAGCCGAAGACTTACAACTCGACCATCGCCAACAAAGTAATCCATTAATACCTCCGTGAGTTTGCTATGCCTAAATGGCACAACAGCCAATGCCCTCTTAACATCACGAGTATCCGTCCGCCCAGGATTTGCTAGGCTTTGTGCGAGGCGCTTTTGGTTGGAGCGCATGACCTACGGATGGTGAGCTGTGGTGCTGGAACAAAAAGAATAGTCACCCTACCTCCATGCATTGTCCAAGGACCATGAGAGACTTGTTGATGTTTCCGGCCTCCTTTAGACGATCGCCAGTTGTCTGTGTGTGCTTGGTTCGCTCCGATCCTGCTAGATCCACGAGGGTTAACCGCGATATTTGCAGAGAGCTCGGGTCCTGCAAAAGTTGAAGAACAAAACTGTATTTCCAAGATCCATACCGTACTTACATCCCGGTCACCTCGGTGTCCTCTTAGAATCTTGATGGTCACCATACCATGGCTCCTGCTACTTTGGCTGTTAGCCAGCGTGCCGAAGACACGTCGGTGCAGTTGTCCTAGCTTGACAAGTGCCTTTGCTTGTGCAGCACCAGTTACCCGAAAATATCTCAGTCCCGCAATATACTTCCCCGCGCTTCCAGGTCCACTCTCATCTAATGCGTCAGAGGCAGGTGAAGGTTTGACAGTGAGGGCTTTACGCGTCAGCAGAAGCGGATGGGCGAGTTGTGCATTGGTGTTGGAGCGAGGAATCTGTGACCGCGACGTATCCTCTGTCACTTCAGCAAGAAGATCGTACACCTTTTCATTGTATACTTCTGCGTAAGATATCCAGATAGAGTACTCGTAGTTGCGGTCGAGCTTAATGATAGTTGGATCGATGTCAATGTCGATGTCATCTGTGTCCGACAGGTGTTCCGCAAGGACTTCTGCGAGTCGTGGTTCATCAGTTGGGTCCGTAGGAGGCAGGAAGTCAGAAGGATCAGCTTCTTCTACACCGTACAGCCTAACGGGCCTGAACTAAGAAGATTTGATGATAAGTTATTAGGTCGTGTATATTGAATTATGGCTCACCCGACCATCGCTGTGCAGTCCCTCGACGCTGTTGAAAATCACGTCTAGTGTCCGCGGCAAAATACCTGCAGAATCTGGACCATTGCCTCCTTGGATTGTATATGTCTTGCCCGAGTTTGTGACACCATACGCAAACAACAAGCCATTTTGTCCATCCAGAAGATCACGTACGAGGGGAAGTGTGGTTTTCGCGAAGAACTCTGCCTGTTGTGTTTCTGGCAGAAAAACATGCGAGAATTTGTAGATTGACGAAGGTGTGACGGTTGAGACACGAATGTGCGGTTTGGAGCTGCCTGAACCGTCATGGGAGATGTCAGTCATCTGTACAGACGTGTCGGATAAAGGGGCAAGGTAAGGCATAGACATGGGTTCATCTCCAAGATGAGGACGAATGCGCAAATAGGCCTGAAGGACGTTCTCAGTATATGATAAAAATCTAGTACGCATAATCCACCATAACAGGTTCGCGCTCTGCAGTCAAACTGTGATCTGCCCGTGCTTGCCTAGTTCCGGCCACCTTCTTGGCAGCAGGAAGCTTAGCATCAGGTGAATTAGCTCGATTGACAAGAGGCTTTCGACCAGTTGTTCGTGTTTTTGATACCTCAGCTTGTGCAGTAGTTTTGCTTGGAAGTCTTGCTCGAATGGTCTTTATCCCTGTCGGAGGAGTCGGAGGTGGATTTGGTGTCTTTGTTCGGGTCGATGCCCTCGTCGGTGCTGCACCAACCTTCGATCTCGTGGCCATGATATTGCAATTTTTGCTGCGGATTACCACTGCTAAACGCTAAGCTCTGTGAAGTCGAGAAGTTGGTTGGATCAAGGTTCAGATATTTAAATGGCAAATATGGACACGTAAATAATGGCGCGCCACACACGCGAGGTCGGCAAGTACGCGTCGCGCCACGTGATCACTTCAATTCTCTATCGCCGCCATCATGATACCGACGCCAGATCTTTCTCATTTGACTAGGCATGATCTTGAACAAGTTTACGACCCAGCAGGTAAGTGAGCTTATATATAAGCTGTACAGTAGTCTAAGCTATCTTGCAGAGGACACATTCTTGTTACTGGATGCCCTCGAACAGGAGGCGGAAGCGCTCCGAAAGGAACGTCCTCTGATTTGTCTCGAGGTCGGGTGAGTTTTAGCTTAAACATGCTATTAAATGCTTAGTGCGATTCAGGTCTGGATCAGGATGTGTGTCAGCATTTCTCGGAAAGGTGTTAGGACAATCATCTTCTCGTGAGTTCGTATTCATCATTCTAGTAGGTGCAGGGCTGATTAGCAATTTACCAGTTTACCTCTGCACTGACATAAACAAACACGCCACCCATTGTACGCTTGCAACGGGGAAACAGAATAAGGTACAGCCTGGGTCTTGCAGACGTTTCAGCTACATCTAATTCACAATTACACAGTAGATACCTCTAGATCCAGTGACATGCTCGCTAGCGCGACCTCTTTTATCGCGATTGCGTCACGCAGTTGATGTACTCTTATTTAACCCCCCTTATGTGCCAACAGATACAGATGAAGCTTCCAGTGCTCAGGGTAGTGCCGATATTGCGGGGTCCTGGGCAGGGGGGGCTGATGGAATGGAAATTACCAATCGTTTGTTACAGGATGTTGAGGTATCATCTTTCCTAATGCTGTGAAATATTATTGACAATGCCGCTCCTCAGTGTCTGTTATCACCGCGGGGTAGATTTTATTTGGTTGCCTTGAGACAAAACAATGTCCCAAGCATCCGGTCCAGGATGTTGGAAGACTTTGGTTTAACCAGCCAGGTAAACTCAACCTGTCCAGTACGAGTTGAGCACACTCTCACAATCACTAGGTTGTCATCGAACGACGGGCGGGAAGAGAATACTTGATAATCATTCGCTTCGCACGGGCCACCTCTAGCTAATTCCGATAACGGGAAGCATGTCTTAAAAACTAAATGGAAGATTCTTCGGGCATCAATGCGGAACAATGAAATATGAACGAGCAGTTTGTAGATCGTGAATTGAATATGTACTGGTCAGATATTGCTTACGCCATAAATCAGTTGTCCTCGTTGAACCCTGGTCTGCGA